ATGCTTATCAAATTGAAGGGATTGAAATCAAAGGGCAACAGATATTAGAATCTGATTCAATAAACCAAGTACAATTAGGCTTTTATTTGTTGTTGTTGTTGTTGTTGTTAATGCTCACGCAAAATTCAAATCTTGCGTGAATTTTGGGACACCCTATAGTAGTCTCCTTGCTGGTTGTTCTGTTTCCACACCTGCTCCCATCACACACACACACACACACACACACACACACACACACACACAGAGACACACACCCCCCAACCAGTGATACTTGTAAAGCGTCAGTCAGATGGTCACCCCTGAACACCTCCTGTCGTCTGGGTGCTGACAGTATTGCCCCCATGTTGCCCCCATGTCCACCTCCTGGATTGATTATTGGACTATGGGTGTCTAAGATGTCACCCATCCGGGCAAGCTGGGTGGAGGGTAGTACCTGGGACTCTATGCACTATTTTTGCAAACTCCTGTGAGTCTATAATTCTTTAAATATGACAAAAGCTCGCGTGGCCGGCATGGCTCAGTGGTTGAGCATTGACCTCTGCACCAGGAGGTCACGGTTTGAATCCTGGTTGGGGGCTCAGTCCCCAGTGGGGGGTGTGCAGGAGGCAGCCGATCGATGATTCTCTCTCGTCATTGATGTTTCTCTCTCTCTCTCTCCCTCCCCCTTCCTCTCTGAAATCTATAAAAACATATTTAAATATGACAAAAAAAATCAAGCCATTTATGGACCAAGTTAATTACGTCATATTCACAGGTAGCCCTAAAAACGGGCAGCTTTTAAGTTACTGATGTGGAATTATTTCCAAGATACAGTAAGTCCTTATTTAACATCACCGATCGGTTCTTAAAACTGCGGCGAAATGACATATAACGAAACCATTCTTACCAAAGGCCAAGTGATAGAAACAAGAGTTAAGTTCCTGTCACATTTGATCGATGTTACTACAAAATGATGTTGAAAGAAATGACGTTATTCAGGGACCTACTGTATATTTTTAGGAGAAAAAGCAAATGTGCTGTTATTTGCATACTAGAGGCCTGTTGCACGAAAAGATTCGTGCAATAGGCCTTCCCTTCCCCTGGCTGCCGGCACTGGTTTTCCTCTGGCACCCGGGACCCAGGCCTTTGCTCCGGCTGGAGCCGCCTTCAAGCCTTCGCTGCCCGTAGATGTATGGAAAATGTAAATGGAACAAGTATATATTTGTCGGGGGAAATAAATTGTTTTACTTATTTTTAGTTTGGGATGCTTGAGATGTTCAGTCAACAATAACATACATGAGTCTAAGTCTTTAAAGACAATTTTAGTTTGAACATTCATATCTAGTGTTACTAACATATAAATAGTAAGTAAAATAATAACAAAGCAATAGACAGAAAAATGTATTAAGACTTACAATTTATGGGCCAATAACATTTAAGGAATCGATAATGCAAAGGTGTTTAACAGAGTCAGAAAAGTTTTAAAGTAGGAGAAAAGGGGAAAAAAAGGAGACTGTACTATCAAAACAGAAGGAAGGAAGGAAGGAAGAAGGAAAGAAGGGAGGGAGGGAGGGAGGGAGGGAGGGAGGGAGGACAGAAAGAAAATGTATGTACGCATCTGCTTTTCCAGCTCTAGACTGGATGGGTGACGCCTTCAGAGAAGGGCCTACATCTAGATGATTCGTGGTGGGTGGGGATGAGACTTCCCCTCTATATCTAAAGCCTCTTCTAATTTAATTTAATTTTTGTTCTTCCTCACTCGAGGATATATTTTCTATTGATTTATTATCATTTGTTTATTTTTATTGATTTCAGAGAGGAAGGGAGAGGGAGAGAGAGATACAAACATCAATGGTGAGAGAGAATCATTGATCGGCTGCCTCCTGCACAGCCCACACTGGGGGTCGAGCCCGGAACCGGGCATGTGCCCTTGACTGGAATCGAACCCGGGACTCTTCACTCCATAGGTTGACGCTCTATCCACTGAGCAAACCGGCTAGGGCTACTTTCCATTGATTTTTAAAGAGAGTGGAAAGGAGGGAGGGAGGGGAGAGAGAGAGAGAAAGAGAGAGAGAGAGAGAGAGAGATCAACTGGTTGCCTCTTGTAAGCATCCTGGCTGGGCATTGAACCCACAACCTGGGCATGTGCCCTGACTGAGACTTGAACCCGTGACCTTCTGGTGAACAGGACAACCCTCCAACCAACTGAGGCTCACCGGCCAGGACTGCGTTTTTAAAAATATATATTTTTATTGATTCAGAGAGGAAGGGAGAGACAGACAGAAACATCAGTGATGAGAGAGAATCCCCGATCGGCTGCCTCCTGCACGGCCCCCACCGAGCCCACAACCCAGGCGTGTGCCCTGACTGGGCATCGAACCACGACCTCCTGTGTCATAGGCCAACACCCAACCACCCAGCCACGCCAGCAGGGCTGCATTGTTTTATTTATTTTAAAAAAACAAAACTTTAAAAATGTAAGTCAGGCCCTAACCGGTGTGGCTCAGTGGATAGAGCGTCGGCCTGTGGACTGAAGGGTCCCAGGTTCGACTCCGGTCAAGGGCATGTACCTTGGTTGCAGGCACATACCCAGTGGGGAGTGTGCAGGAGGCAGCTGATCGATGTTTCTCTCTCATCGATGTTTCTAACTCTCTATCTCTCTCCCTTCCTCTCTGTAAAAAATCAATAAAGTATATTTAAAAGAAAAAGAATTGTTATAGAAATAACGGAATTCTCAAACCGCAAGAGAAAGTAAAAAAAATATAATAATAATAAAAAAAATGTAAGTCAGATCCCCGCTGTCTTCCCATCACCCCGCACGGCTCCGGCCTTGCTCAGACTCCACACAGAGTCCTCTCCTGGGCCACAAGCCCCGGGTTCGGGCCCCGGCTGTCCCGCCCGTTTCATCTCCTACCACAGCTCGCCTGCCTGCTGTTCCCACACCCACAAGCCCGCTCTGCTCCGCGGGGCCTCTGCTCACGCCGTCCTCTCCACCTGGGGACCCCGGCGGCCCCCTGTGGGCTCGTCCCCGCCCTCCCTCAGGCTTCATGGCTCCCTCTTGTGACGTGAATGTGTTTCCCAGTTCACTGCCTGTCTCCCAGCTACAACCTGAGCTCCATGAGGCCAGTGGGTTGCTTCTGGGCCGGTCATGGCTGCATCCTCAGTGCCTTGAACAGTCCTTGGCACGCCGGGTGCTCCCACGTGTCCGTGGGCAGACGGGAGTTGTGACAGCCCCCTCTCCTTCTCTCCTCGTCCAGTGAAACAGCTGGAGGTCCTGCAGGACATTGCGGATCTGACAGTGAAGGCCTCGGATCAGGCCGTGTTCAAGTGCGAAGTGTCCGACGAAAAGGTGACGGGCAAGTGGTTCAAAAATGGGGTCGAGGTGCGGCCCAGCAAGAGGATCACCATGTCCCACACGGGGAGGTGCGGAGTAGACTATGGAGGTGACTGGGGGATGGGGCGTGTGTATCAGCTAGCGCTAGCTGCGTAACAACCATCCCCAGACTTAGTGGTTCCAAAGAACAAGGACTTATTTAATCGAGTCTGTGGGTCAATGGGAGGCTGGCTAATTGAGGATGGCCTTCCTGGTGCTTGTGTGGTCAGCTGAGTGTCAGTTCTGCTCACCCTCCTGTGCTCTGTGGGGACTTGGAGGTGCTGGGCTGTGTCTGCGCTGGTCCTGATGATGCCTCATCTCCTAGTAGGGCTGGCCCTGGCATCGTCACGTGCTAGAAACGGGTTCTGAGGGCGTGCAGGGGAACATGACTGTGTGGCCTGGGCTGGGAACTGTCCCCATGTTGCTTCCACCATATTCCTTCTTTTTCTTTTGCATTGAATTTTTTTTTAATGTATTTTATTGATTTTTCACAGAGGAAAGGAGAGGGATAGAGAGTTAGCCCTTGACTGGAATCGAACCCGGGACCCTTCAGTCCGCAGGCCGACGTTCTATCCACTGAGCCAAACTGGCCAGGGCTGCATTGAATTTTTTAAAGTGAGAATGAAAGGGAGGGAGTGGGGGTAGAGAGAGGGAGAGAGAGAAAGAGAAAAACACGGTTGTGAGGGAGACACATGGATTGGTTGCCTCCCTCACGCACCCTGACCAGAGCTGGGGATCGAGCCTGCAACCCAGGCCCACGCCCTTGACCGACGTTCTAAGCACGGAGCACGCCGGCCAGGGCACTTGCACCGCATTCTGTTGGGTGAAGGAAGTCAAAGGCTGCACGCTCTCCTGGCAAGGGGCATGGATAGAGGGAGGGAAAATCGTGGTCCTATTTGCAGTCTGTACAGAATGCCACCATAGTGCCACCGGATGTCGTGTCCTGTGGGGTTCCGGACGGCAGCTCTGGGTGGAACGTGGCTTTCTCTGGGTTCTGTGTAGGAACCCTGCCTGCTTGTGGTTTCAGTAAGAAGAAGAAACCCTACAGCTCACAGGGCACCCACTGCGTGCCGGGGAGCTTTCTAAATGCTTCGCAACCCTGGTGGGGATTGTTATCACTGCCTGTATTTTTAAAAACTATATTTTTATTGATTTTAGAGAGGAAGGCAGAGGGAGAGAGAGAGAGAGAGAAACATCAATGTTGAGAAAGTATGATCGATCGGCTGCCTCCTGCACGCCCCCTACTGGGGATCAAGCCCACAACCCAGACATGTGCCCTTGACTGGAATCGAACCTGGGACCCTTCAGTCCATAGGCCAACGCTCTATCCACTGAGCCAAACTGGCTAGGGCACCTGTATTTTTTTAAAAAATATATTTTTATAGATTCCAGAGAGGAAGGGAGAGGGAGAGAGAATCATTGCTCAGCTGCCTCCTGCATGCCCCCACCTGGGGATCGAGCCCACAACCCGGGCATGCACCCTGACTGGGAATCAAACTGTGACCTCCTGGTTCATAGGTCGACGCTCCACCCCTGAGCTACACCGGATGGGCATCATTGCCTGTATTTTATAGATGAAAACTGAGGCACAGAGAGGTTAAGTGCTTGCCTAAGGCCACACAGCTAGGAAGGGGCAAAGCTGAGATTTGAACCCATAGTTCCAAAGGCCAGAAGAAAAAGGGTGGGTGTGGCCCAGCTGGGGTTGCTCAGTGGTTGAGTGTCAACCCGTGAACCAAAAGGTCACTGGTTTGATTCTCTGTCAGGGCACATGCCCCATTGGGGGTGATCCCCAGTAGGGGGCGTGCAGGAGGCAGCCGATCAGTGTTTCTCTCTCATCGCTGTTTCTCTCTCTATCCCTCTCCTATCCCCTCTCTCTAAAATCAATTTAAAAAAACACGTATTAGCCCTAACCGGTTTGGCTCAGTGGATAGAGCGTCGGCCTGCGGACTGAAGGGTCCCAGGTTCGATCCCGGTCAAGGGCATGTACCTGGGTTGCGGGCGGCACATCCCTGGGGGGTGTGCAGGAGGCAGCTGATTGTTGTTTCTAACTCTCTATCCCTCTCCCTTCCTCTCTGTAAAAAATCAATAAAAAATATTTTTAAAAAAACAACATATTAAAAAGAAAAAGGGTGGGTGTGAGCATGTACATTGCATCGAGGAGGATGTTTCTCCGTGGTGGTCCCCGGGTGACCTGGCTTGACCTCTGCCCTGTGACCCCAACCCCTTAGGATCCACAAGCTGGTGATCAATGACGTCCGCCCGGAGGACGAGGGGGACTACACGTTCGTGCCCGATGGCTACGCCCTGTCTCTCTCAGCCAAGCTCAACTTCCTGGGTGAGGGGCCCCTTGGTTCTCCCCAGGGCCCGAGTGCCCCCTCAGGAGTAAGCCTCCCTCAGTGCACACTGCGGGGGGGGGGGCGTCAGACAGAAGAGGAGGGAGAGCATCGTTTCCGCCACAGTGTGACCCTGTGGGGACCAGTGGACAGTCACGGTCCTGAGCCCACCCCCGCACCCCGGTGCCCAGGGGACCCCAGACCCTCCCCTCTGCCTCTGGGGGTGGGGGTGGGATCAGCCCCATGGATTTAGACCTAACCATCCCCTCTCCTGTGTTCACCAGAAATCAAGGTGGAGTACGTCCCCAAGCAAGGTAGGGACCCTGTGGCTTTGGTACCTGGGGCCGGACTCCTGGGTCTGAGGGAGGAGGGAGGGGCATGGACCCCTGGGTCTGAGGGAGGAGGGGTTGGGGGCCGGACTCCTGGGTCTGAGGGAGGAGGGGCTGGGGGCCGGACTCCTGGGTCTGAGGGAGGAGGGGCTGGGGGCCGGACTCCTGGGTCTGAGGGAGGAGGGGCTGGGGGCCGGACTCCTGGGTCTGAGGGAGGAGGGGCTGGGGGCCGGACTCCTGGGTCTGAGGGAGGAGGGGCTGGGGGCCGGACTCCTGGGTCTGAGGGAGGAGGGGCTGGGGGCCGGACTCCTGGGTCTGAGGGAGGAGGGGCTGGGGGCCGGACTCCTGGGTCTGAGGGAGGAGGGGCTGGGGGCCGGACTCCTGGGTCTGAGGGAGGAGGGGCTGGGGGCCGGACTCCTGGGTCTGAGGGAGGAGGGGCTGGGGGCCGGACTCCTGGGTCTGAGGGAGGAGGGGCTGGGGGCCGGACTCCTGGGTCTGAGGGAGGAGGGGCTGGGGGCCGGACTCCTGGGTCTGAGGGAGGAGGGGCTGGGGGCCGGACTCCTGGGTCTGAGGGAGGAGGGGCTGGGGGC